AGACTGAGGTTCACGCCCTGCGCCAGGCGGAGCTTCCGGGAGGGTGGCCGCTCTCCCGGGCCCCAAGCTCGCGAGTCCTCGGATCCCAGAAACATAACTCCGGGGGTGCAGACCTGCTTGGAGGCCCGGCCTCTTCCCTGGGAGGCGTTCGCTCCCGCCGGGCCAAGGACTAGGTCGCCGATCCAAGCGGCTGGGGTGAGCGCGCCCTCGGGGAGGGGAGCTCCCGTGGGGGACACTGCCCAGCCCGCAGGCCGTGAGTAGCCCGAGCTCGGGAGTCGGGGGAGGTCGGGCGGGGGCAGCCGGGAGGGGCTCACCTTGCCTCCAGTTCCCAAGCACAGGAAATGGCGGTGCAGCTTTGCTAGGGGACGCTTGTTGTGAGGTTGTAAAATTGCAGCTTCTGGAAGGCTGGGAGCGGAATTCTAGCCCACGCCCACTTCTGGGTGGCTGGAGCGGGCCCTCCTGCTGCCCCGCCCGCTCCTGCACCGGGGCTCCTCTCCCTGGCCTGCAGACCCTGGCCTCCTTATCCTGGGGGAAAACCCCACCTGGGAGGTAAGACTGCTCGCTGAGCTGCTTTTCGGCCAACCAAGACATGTAGAGTATTTGGGGGCGTTTCTCACAGGTGGGCAGACTGTTAGGATGGCGAGGGCCCAGTGTGGGTGCTTTGGTTCTCTCCGGAATATTGATGTGTGGACCGAGAAGGGACCGAGTGTTCTCCACCGCTTCCTAAAATCTAACACCGTATGGCTTTGGGGTGCAGGTGCTGGGTGTCCCCACAGCCACCCTCAAGACCGTATCCTGGGGTAGCAGTTTGACAAAGCCTGCCCCACTGCAACCTCGGCCTCCCAGGTTCAAGCGATTCTCATGCCTCAGCCCCCGGAGTAGCTGGAACTACAGATGGTGGGCTACCACACCCAGCTAATTTATGTATTTTTAGTAGAGATGGGGTTTCGCCATGTTAGCCAGGCTGGTCTCGAACTCCTGGCCTCAAGTGATCCACCCACCTCCACCTCCCAAAGTGCTGGGATTACAGGCGTGAGTCACCATCCCCGAACCAGGGGGCTTTTCAAGAATGATTCATCTTGCATACTGTTTTAAAGCCACAAGCTGTCCCGGGGAGATGCCCTCCCTCGATTTTGTTTTTGTTTTTGTTCTATTTTTGTTTTTCTTTTTGTTTTCATTTTTGTTTTTGTTTTGAGATGGAGTCTCCTTCTGTCTCCCAGGCTGGAGTGCAGTGGCGCCATCTCAGCTCACTGCAACCTCTGCCTCCCGGGTTCAAGCAGTTCTCCTGTCTCAGCCTCCCCAGTAGTTGGGAGGCACACACCACCACGCCCAGCTAATTTTTGTATTTTTAGCAGAGGAGGGGTTTCACCATATTGGCCAGGCCAGTCTCAAACTCCTGACCTCAGGTGATCCACCTGCCTCAGCCTCCCAAAGTGCTGGGATTACAGGCGTCAGCCACTGCACCTGGCCAGATTTTTTAATACCATTCTTGGACTAGGTGATTTGACAACTTAGAAAACTATTCACTAGGTGTCCAGGCCCTCTCTGCAATCAGTCAGAAGCTGTAAACGTGGCTGGTGGAGAACAGAGTATTTCTCCAGGAAAACTCCCCTCCCCCACCTTGTCATCTAGTGGAAAGACACTGACTTGGGCCCGTTTTCTGAAGGTAGTAGTACTGTTTAAGGAGCTAATAGTCTTAATTTAGACTCTCCTCAGCCCAAGGCTAATGCAAATGTTTTATCATTGATGTCATTTTGCAGAGGCAATTTGAATAACACCTACAGTAAGGCAGGCATGGGTCCGCTAGCCAATGAGAGAGCCCCTACCGCATTGTTGGTCCTCAGTGCTCTGTGTCAGTGGGGAATCTCTCCAGAAGGGGACTTTACAGGAGATGTCATGGGCCGCAGTGGGTGGCCAGAATTTGAGAACTAGTGGATAATGTCACATATGTGCCCCATCACCGTCACTTCAGCTAGCATCAGATCTGTTGTCCAGGATAGCTAGACATTACTTGTGGTTAAATGTATTTGTCTTAATACGTTAAGTTAAATGTATTTGTACTTGTGGTTAAATATCTTAGAGTAAGTTCCTTCAAAAGTTAATTTTGAGCCCTTAAGTTAATGGTATTTCTTTCCAAAAAAAAAAAAAAACTGATGAACTGTAGCTTCAGCCTGTAACTAGATGCCTCTGACTCTCTTTGATTCTGGTAGTCAAACGTCTATTGAAAAAGCAGAGAGAGGATGCCTCGGCGTGTAAGGGGAGTGACGAGGACCTGATCCTTGGGCCGTTTGGGAACACTGGCTGCCGTTTGATCACAGTCAGCCTGGACTCAGAGAATTTCAAGTAATTCTTGTATTTTAGTTTCCCTTTTAGAGCACAAATTGGTACTAGCAAATGACTTACTTCTGAATCTGTCTCACCCCCTGGTTAATGGCTAGTTACCCCTTTTGGGCTCACCTGTGTGTAGGTGGCCAGCCTCACCTTTTTTTTTCTTTCTCTTTTCTTTTTTCTTTTTGAAATGGAGTCTCACTCTGTCGCCCAGGCTGGAGTGCAGTGGCGCTATCTCAGCTCACTGCAAACTCTGCCTCCCGGGTTCAAGCAGTTCTCTTGCCTCAGTCTCCCAAGTGGCTAGGATTACAGGCATGCACCACCACGCCCGGCTAATTTTTGTATTTTTTTAGTAGAGGTGGAGTTTCACTATATTGGTCAGGGTGATCTCGAACTCCTGACCTCAGGTGATCCACCCGCCTTTGCCTTCCAAAGTGCTGGATTGCAGGGGTGAGCCACCGCACCTGGCCACAGCCTCGTGTTTTTGAGAAAAGATGGTGGCATGTAAATACCCGATTATGTGCTTGTCAGGAAGAAAGTGCTTGGTTAAACAGAGAAAGCTCCTGGTAGAGAAGAATCTGCAACAGAGGCAAAACATACGGGCCGGTTTTCACCCACTGCTGAGGTCCTGAGGGCAGCCACGGCCTCTGAGCCAAGGGGAGTTCAGTGTCCATAAGCCTTGGGGGCTTGCTTGCATAGGAACCGCTTTGCCCTCCAATTTTGGTGTAGGCAGGCGGGGATCAGAGCAACATGTTAAGAATGAATAACTGTGCAGTATCCCTGGTATTGTTCTAAGTGACTGCCATCCATCTGGGCTTCCTCCCTACAGTGGCAATCCCCAGGCCTTTCGTGAGCAGGTCTTCAAAGTGTCCCAAGCTCAGTCCAGCACTTGTGCTGAGGCAGCCACCTTTGGTCTGAAATCTGGAAGCACAGGATGAGAAGGGGGACATCACTGTGTTCAGGGTAACTTATGTGCTAGTTAGCTAAGAATAACAGTTAGTCCCATGAGACCACCTGGCAAATTTACATTTGACATTTAACACAGAGAGGGTTTAGTAAAAGCAGCCCTTCAAGATGTTTGGGGAAATAATTTTTGAGTGGCTCACATCATACAACTTTCCATTCCAGGAGCTTGTTGGTTGGGTCAAGATAAACCTACGCATGACGTCGTGCTGATCCTGGGTTTATAGTCGTCCTTTTTAACCTGCAAAGAAGCATTTGAAGACGTTGTCTCATGGGTACCGCTTGCCAGCCTTTGGAGGTAAATAAAACCTCTCCCCTCTTACAGAGAAGGTGGAAGCCCGGAGTGAGAAGGGAAGAGTGGGGAGGTGATGTGCGTGCGTGCCCCGTGTGGCACCGTAGAGGGTGGCTGGAAACATTTTCTTACTGAATCTTCCCAGCGGCCCTGGGCTGGAGCAGATAAACTGTTCCTTTCCCAGCCGAGGAATCCGAGGCCGCAGGAGCATGAGTAAGTCACACAAGGACACCCAGCCAGCTGGACGTCGGGTGGACATGGGGCTCCACCCGACTTTCTCAACTCTGTGAGCCCGACATGCTGTTCCTCTGGGGCCTCACTTGGTACTGGCTGCTATCGCTATTCTTAGCTACATCACGCCCGTGTGCTTTCTTTCCGCCCAGGATGTGAAGCCGGCAGAGAAATAAAGCGCCGCCCCTCTGCGCGTCCCTCCCCGTCTGCTAGAATGTTTCTCATGAACGCTCCTCCAGTGGTTGCTCTCCAGTCCAAATGGGAGGCCTTTGGCCCGCCAGGGAGCTGTAGGTTCCCCGGGTGCTTCTCGGAGGCTGACGAGGGCGTGGAGAGCGCGTCGGTGAGCGCCCGGGTGCAGATGCTCATCAGCACGCTGCAGCGTGACGGGGCTGCTCGGGGCACCAGCGATGAGCGTGCTACGCAGAGGGGTCACAGGGCAGAGGGATGCCACGACGCCAGGCCGGCCGCCAAGCCCACCGTGCACAAGGAGCCGCCCACGCTGGCTGCCTGTGGTCTCGTTGCTGACTTTGACCCCATGGGGGAGGAGGAAACTGCAGACTTTGGCCCGTTGGTGCTAGATTCAGACAGTGACGATTCCGTGGACCGGGACATTGAGGAGGCCATCCAGGAGTACCTGAAGGCAAAGAGTGGAGCCACACAGCCTGGGGCCGGTGGGGCTCAGCCAGGCACAGCCCAGCCTTCCAGGGCCGCAGGCGGAGGCAGTAGATGTAAGCCGGAACCGGCTCACGGCAGTGCTCCGACTGCCCTGTGTCCACCAAAACTTGTACCTGGATCAGGTGGTGGCCCCGGCAACCAGGCGGGATCCAGTGAGGACCAGGGCTCCGCCTCCCCGGTCAGTGTAAGCAGCGATGATTCCTTTGAGCAGAGCATCAGGGCGGAAATAGAACAGTTTCTGAATGAAAAGAGACAGCACGAGACCCAGAAATGCGATGGGTCCGTGGAGAAGAAACCAGACGCAAATGAACATTCGGCCAAGTCACTCTCGAAATCCCACCAAGAGCCAGCTACAAAGGCGGTGCCTCGGCAGGGCCCGACGGGCGTCCAGAAGGAGTTCGCCTTCCGCAAGCCTCCCCGGTTGGTGAAGACGAACGTGCAGCCCAGAAGCCTCAGGTCCAAGGTCACGACCACGCAGGAGAACGAGGGCAGCACGAAGCCAGCAACCTCCTGCCGCCCTTCAGAAGCAGCACAGAATAAAAGTGGGACCAAAAGGGGCACCAGCGCGGCAAGGAGGGGAAAGCGAGTCACGAGCCTGGCACAGGCACCCGAGGCGTCTGACTCCAGCAGCGACGACGGCATCGAGGAGGCCATCCAGCTGTACCAGCTGCAGAAAACACGTAGGGAGACCGAAGGGGACCCGCCCCAGACGGCCCAGCTCCGAGAGGAGAGAGCACCCGATCCTTCCACACACAACACAAGCAGCGCCCCAAAAAGTGCCTTGCCCGAGACCCATAGGAAAACACTCAGCAAGAAGAAGCCAGTGGCCGCCAAGACCACGGACCCTGGTCCGGGGGACGCTGACCATTCCCCCAAGCTCCTGAAGGAAACCAAAGCTCCACCTCCAGCGAGCCCGGCCTCCAGGAGCGAGTTTGTGGAACGGTCCTCGTGCCGGGCAGACACATCTGCTGAGCTGATGTGCGCAGAAGCAATCCTGGACATTTCCAAGACCATCCTGCCGGCCCCTGTGGAGGGCAGTGACCGGTCCCTGTCTGCAAGCCCCGTCTTCTACTCCCCGAACGTGCCTTCCCGCTCTGACGGCGACAGTAGCTCCGTGGACAGTGATGACAGCATTGAGCAGGAAATCCGGACGTTTTTGGCCCTCAAGGCGCAGTCGGGGAGTTTGCTGGCCAGAGGTGAGAGCTGCCCTCAGGCTGCCCAGGTTCCACCTTTGCCGCCTGGCCTCAGCAGCCAGACCAGCGGCCCCAAGGCCCCTCTTTCTAAAACACGAGACCCACTGCTGGGCTGCACAAGGAAGCGTAAAGGCGGTGGCCATGTGAGGCCATCCACGCCCAAGAAAACGCGGGAGGTGGTGAAAGACAGTGGCCGGGATGCCAACCATAGCCAGGGGAGAGCCTGTCTCTTATACACATCTAGATGTGTATAACACGACTCTCTCAACTCTGTGAGCCCGACATGCTGTTCCTCTGGGGCCTCACTTGGTACTGGCTGCTATCGCTATTCTTAGCTACATCACGCCCGTG